AACACAAACCCAACACTTAAACATTTATGAAAGTATCAAGTTTGCAATATCCTTACAAATAGTCTCTTGAAGTTCAAGAGGGTACTCTTCGAGCCAAACACGACACTCACTATAATTGTAACTTAATCTCGCTAATCTATCCGCTACTCCATTTCCCGCCCTTTTAACAAAAGAAAACACCACTCTTCTACAATCTCTGGTGAGCTTCAAAACATCCATCACCACTTTACCAAAAGCATTTGGGGTTATGATACCCTTCTGCATATGGTGGAACAATTTTATATTGTCCGTTTCAAGAACAAAGTCCCTAAACCCAGCTTCTTTAGCTCTCAGTAAGCAGTGCCTCATTGCCATTGCTTCCCCTATATCCACCTCAAAAGTCCCCTTTTATTAATCAATCAAGCTTTTATTAATTGATTGTTGGTTTAATAAAGAACCTTGAATTGCAAATTTCATTAGTTTGAAGGCCAGGGATGCAACAGAGGATTCGTGACATGCATCTATCTAGCTACATTTGAAATTTGCAAATAATATTATAAGCTTGATGATAAGAGATCATGCTAAACTAGTGATTTTCAGGGCTGTAAAGGGTATTCCCCGTAGTTGCTAATACTTGAAATGGCAGAGACAAGGCTGCACTTTTTTGGGCTAGAAGAATGGAATATGAAATGTAGTATGGAAAGTATTAGACATTCTAAATTTACAAGTGAAGGTCAATTACACATAAATCTATCTATAATTGCATTTGTAGATCCCTCCATGGCTCTTGATAGTCCAAAAACAATGATTGATTACTATGTTAGCCATGGGTTTGACATTATGCTGCTTCATATTCTATTGTCAAGCTTCTAGTTAGTAATCTGAACAATATACTCTGAACAATATAGTAAAGCTTCTAGTTAGTACTGTGATGATAAAAATGATTATGTCAAACTAGGGTGTGTGATATTAGGACCTTGCATTCTGCTTTTTTTTATCAGAAAAGTCATGGCAATCTTGAATCTGATACTATGAACTATGATGAGGTAGCAAAAAGTACTTGAATGGTTTGACTAATACTAAGGAGTGCTTACATAATCTATAGTCTCAAAGTCAAGGTAGATTTCTACATTAGTTTTCTCTAAAAGTAAATAAAAATCAATTTAAAGTAAATAAAAAACACTTTATAGTAAACTTATTAGCTCAAGTGGTAGAGAACTATGCGAATGCATAGAGGTGTCGGTTCGATTCATACATAGGTTATCTCTAAACGTAAATATAAAACACTCTAAAGTTATCCAAAATATCTTTAATGTAAATCAACCTAACTAAAAAAGTAAATCAAGTTAGCTCTAAAGTATACAAACAAAGATATTGTATACCTTATAGTTAATTTGATTTTAAACACTTTAAAGTTATTCAAAACACTTCAAAAGTAATTTAGAAAGATAAAAATTAAATCAAAACATTTCAAAAGTAAATCACAATACCTCAAAAGTAAATAGAGATATCAAAATAACTAATAAAGAAATCAAGAGTAGATCAAAATATCTTAAGAGTAAATCATGAAACTCAAAAGTAAATATAAAATACTTAAAAGTAAATCAAAATCATTAACCGAAAAGGGTTGCTGGTTTATTTTGCTTCTCATTGAGTCACTGATAGAGTTTAGTATGTCTCTTCTATGAGTCAATAACTATGTCATTTATGTATGAAGTGGTTGAATCAACCGACGAATTTTCATGTATATTTCCTCCGTTTTCTTTTAAATGCAACACACTTTTTTTTTCCACGCTTTTTTAGGAGGTGATTAGAGTAGGTAAACAGACAAATTAATCAAAATAATTTATACACATATTAGCTAACCCTTCTCTAATCGTGGTGTTAAAATTATTTTGATAAAGTAGCTCGTTTACCTATTCGAATCACCTCCTAAAAAAGCGTGTCAAAAAGGTGTGTTGCATTTAAAAGAAAACAGAAGAAGTACATTATAAACCTTTGAAGTGACTAAACGCTTTAGTAAAAATATACCTATTGTATACAAGATCTGCCGGACTGCTGGTTGCTGTCAAACGCTGAGCATAAGTCTCGAGTGTTGGCTAAATATGATAGAAACAACACCAGCAACAGCAGGAACAGAGCTGCTGCATACATACACCCAAAGCACTCGAATCTTATCAGAAAGAATTAGTGTAACCAGGATTCAAACAAGGCAATTAGGCATATATCAGGTTATTAAATTTTACATGATCTGTCTGTGCACTTAATGTCATTTCCTTTGCTTAACCTTAGGTGCTCGACGCGTTTCTGTATTTCTGATCAATATGTAGGGACAAATTACCATGATACATTGAAAGACAACGAAAGGTTTATAAAAAACTCGTATATTACATCGAACAAAGTATATTTATGCTAATCCTGCATTCCTACTACCTTAAACAAGTCTGATAATCACTTTCGTTACATCAGTTGATATGAGGAAATTCTAGGAAGAACTTGCTGGACCATATGTGCACTAATTCACTAATTATATGCTACCAAAAACAAGAAGCATTATAACTTAAAGCTATTAACTAACCTCCATTTCATAATTTGTCATATTAACAAGGAGTATATTCTTTGCATCAATGTAATTATATTATCTGTCAACATCAGATTAGTGAACATAATTATCAGATCCTAGCGCAAAAGCATTTAAGCAGGCAAATCCTCAGTCTTATACTCACATCAGTTATTAGATATGAATACAAAAGAATTGTTCACATTGCTTATAAACACACGTAGCTCATCACTCACACTCATTAATACACACATACACTACTAGAAAACAGCCGTTTTTCGACGGAAAAAATTCGTCGGAATCACTTGAAAATCCGCCGGAAATTGCTTTTCTGACGAAATTCCTCCGGATAGGTCTGTCGCAAAACGTTTTGTAGGAAATTCGCCCTTTCCGACAGATTTTCCGTCGGAAACGCAAATTCCGTCGGAATTACATCTGTTGGAGCGTGGATTGACTTAAATTGGAAATCCGTCGCAAACTTCCGTCGTTATTTACACCCTTTCGACGGAATATTCCGTCGTAAAAAAACTACACTTCCGACGGAATTTTCCGTCATAATTTCTGTATATTGCGAGGGAATTTTAATCCGTCGGAAATTTACGATGCAGTATTTCGTCGCAATTTTCAGACGGATTTATTTTCGCTTGGAAAATACAGACTTTACGAAGGAATTTTCCATCTGAAAATCTATCGTAATATTCCGACGGATTAATTTTCCGTCACAACAAAAGGAGTTTTTGACGGATTATCCATCAGAAATTCCGTCGGAATTTCACCTGTTGATTTAACAAATTTATCGATTTTTTTTGGAAGTACCACAATTCGAAACCTATACCTCCTGCACATAATTCACGATAAAATTAAATTAATGATTTAATTACAAAACATTATATATATAAAAAAAATAATATATACATTGTATGCAGCCATAAAACATAATCCAAATTAAGTACATGTACATACTACATAAACTAAAGCTAAGCTACACCCGGAGTACCCTGCTTGCTCCACCATTACCCGGGTCGTCCATGGGGTCTCGAGGCCGAGGTTGAATGGTGGAACATGTGTCGCTGGGGAAACGACTCATAAACTCATCCCACCTCTCCTGGTTTTTCCTCTCCATTGCTGCCATTTGTGCTTGAAGTTGGGCTTCCATCTCGACTTCCAATTCACTCCGGATTTCACTGAGAAGAGCCTGCACCCTATGCTCCATCTGATCCTGCATCTGAGAAACAATGGAAGGCGTGTACTGTTGTAAAGACATGGAAACTCGACCCATCCGGCTGCCACAGTACAACTCTGTACTTTAATTTGGCCAAGTCCCTTCACACGACCCTTCTTGTTGCGATCACCCACGATCTCCCAGTACAACTCATTGGGACTCTTCCGAATCCCTTGAGTGCTTGCCTCTTCAACCTTCTTCTGGTAGGCCTCCTACAAGATATATATATGAAAAGGAGCGACTTACTAAGTTTAAGGAAGCATTTTCAACAAAATAGAACCAAGTAAGGCCTAAGTGACTTGTACTTTGCCCATTTTCTTCATTTCTTAGTAAATGAACTCTTTCTTTCTCATAACATGTCAATAATAGGTAGTTTTAAGTGTATAGGGCTTGAAATGACAAAAAAACCAATTAACTAAGTTTTGGGAACCATTTTCATCAAAATAGAACCAAATATGGCCTAAGTGATAGGTGTGTCGTGTACCTAACAAAAATAACCTAACGAGACCACTACTATGTAGACGGGCAAGTAAGGATCGAATCCCAAGAGACTAAGGTTCACCTAATTAAATAGACTTAAATAATCACTAAGAAAGTATCAAATCAATGGTGAAGTATACTATAACTAATGTATGAAGAACTTAACCAATCTAATGAATATAATGAATCAATGAACTAAGGCATCCAAGATCAAGCATTACCACGAATATAATCAATGCATAAATAATTCTACCCCCAATAACAATTCAATCGACAAGAGGAAAAATATTCCCTATAAAATACCAAAGGTCTCTTCTGAGTTATCAATGGCTTCCCAAATTAACTATCAAGCCTATTTCCATGGAATCAAGCAAATAAGGGACATTAAACACAATACTTAACTTCCTAATCATTCAATCAACTATTTCCATGATGATCTTCAAACCCTTAATTGAAATACCTAAATCCCGTTAATATTCAACTTCCGTTGCAATAAGAACAAAGGGATGATAACAATACTAATTATTCCTAATCTAGTATTGGCATAAACACAATCAATTAAGCATGTCAATTGGAATTATTGGACAATTTAAAGAATTAACCTAAGCATTAATCATATCTGGGCTTTGCAAGATCCCAGATTGAGAATCTACTCACGCATACTAGCAAACCCTAAAACAATAATCAATGGAGAAAACATAATTAAAAACAATAATAATTGAAAGAGAAGAGAAAAGAGATGAATACCAAATATGCTTCAATTGAAATAATTCAAATTGTTGATGAACAATACTCAAATCTAATGAAGTAATTAAATTGCAATGAAAGAGAGTAACTAGGGTTCTAGAGAGAGAAATAAAGCTTAAGGAATTAACTGCTGTTTTCTAATAATGATTACAAGGGGTATTTATACCCTTAATGAGATAAAAATTCGAAAATAACAAATCCGGTTTCCGCGTAACTGTGCCCGGTCCAACCGGGCGAGCACCGTCCGATCGGGCAGGATGCAGTACTAAGCTGCGCTGCCTTCGCTGCCTTCTTTTCCTTTGATCCCATCGGGCAGGTGGTGCCCGATCGGGCGCGAGGCTCAAACGTTGGCCTCCTGCTTGCTGCCTTGCTCTTGTTCTTGTGGCGCCTTCCACCACCACGCACCCGGTCCAATCGGGCGGACCTAGCCCGATCGGGCGCGTGATGCAGCTACCAAATTCTTGCTTCTTGCCTTTGTATTTCGAGCACCAACCACAACTCCTCAGTGCCCGGTCCAACTGGGCATGCACTACCCAACAGGGCACAGGAGAATTAAGTAGCTTGTAGTCCGTTTTTAGCTTGTTCTTCCTCTTTGCTTCACTAACATCTCCTATAAACACCCGAAACGTGTCCGAATCATCCAAGAAACTCCAAATTCCTATAAAACTCACAAAAACACATCGAACACACTAGAGAAGAGATTGTTAGCGAGAAACGGCTCTAAAGAGCCTAAAACCATGCAAGAATATGATGTAAAATCGGGATAAATCAATGTATAAAACGTGTACATCACTAAGTGACTTCTACTTTGCCCATTTTCTTCATTTCTTAGCAAATGAACTCTTTCTTTCTCATAACATGTCAATAATAGGTAGTTTTAGGTGTATAGGGATTGAAATGACAAAAAAAAGCAATTGACTAAGTTTTGGGAACCATTTTCATCAAAATAGAACCAAATGGCCTAGGTGACTTCTATTTTGCCCATTTTCTTCATTTCTTAGCAAATGAACAAATATGTTTGATTCTAAGTTATATTGAAGTTATTACCGCAATTTTCTTCGCTTTGGTGTTGACTAGCACTGTGCCTTTCCCAGGCACATCCTTGAAGTGCGTCTTCAGAAAAAGCTCAAGAGCTGTTGGTAGCTGGCCTTTATTCTTCGTCGCCTTTGATTATACATACAGAAAATCATCGTTATAAATGTCACACCACCATTACATTGTAATAAACAAATGCCTTCTATTTTACTTGCCTATTAAACAAACTTACCATCCTTTTTGCTTTTTGCATGTTGGACAACTGACATAGAACCCTGATAGTGGCTTGGTTCGACCACATTTTCCATCGAACCGCCCCTTCTGTTCTTCTTATTATGGCCGACCTCTTCTTATACGTTAGATCTGTGGCAACAATGTCCATCATTTTCTTGTGGACTTCCTCATTGAGCCAGCCTGGCTTGGCGCCATTCATCTTGTGTGTGACTATGTGGAACATGTCACGTAGGCGAGTTGCAAACCTCCTTTCAACAGTGACCTTCACATGCTCGTTCAATTGAGGTGTCCATGTGAATTGTTTCTGCAAATGATAAAACTTTAAAAGTTATAAACTCAACTCAATTAATACAATTAATAAAACATGTATTAACTAAGTTAAAAATAGCATACGCTGAACAAGTTCCACCAGTGTTGTTTCGTTCCTTCATCTACCTCTCCATAGTTCCTCCAAGGGTCTCGATAGTATCCAGTTAGCATATCGGAGACCGCACTCCTCACCTTGTTATTATCAAACCTACAATAAACGAGAAACAACAATGTTAGAAGTAATAAATAGGTTAAATTTTTGAAAATAAGAACATAAGTCCAATTCATTAAATGTACGTACGTACCAAAACGTAGTAGGGTCTAATACTGGCAGCTCTGAATGCTCTTGTGTCTGATCCTGTGGATGGGTGAAGGGGAGCTCCAGAGTGGCACCCAAATCATGTGCCTTTGCATCCTCCATTTCTTCATCATGGTCGTCGTTCACAACGGCGGGAGCTTTCCCTTTCCCCTTTGTTTTCCTTGATAATTCTCCATCTTTACCCCCCGCCATGACCACCTGAAATAGATGTTAGTAACATGACATGATATTATAAATTACAAGTATAGTGCAATGTAAAAAAATTTATACAAACAGTAAAGATTTAATATAAGACCAAGTCATATTTTGATTTTACAATAACAAGCAAATTCTTAAAGGAGATTAATATATTCTCCTAATCAGTAATCTCATCACTACTATCATCTAATAATACATTGATGTCATCATCCTCGTCACTATCACTAGAGTCGATACTAGATTCATCATCTTCATCGCTTGAGATAACAAAGCCATCGTCATCATCTTCATCATTATCATCTATGGCATAGTCTGGAATGTCATTCGGTGGGCAAGGCGTTGCATGTACTTGTTGGATGGTGCTTGCAAAAACTCTAAGTCCACCGGAGCATCAACCACTGACCTTGCTTGTGTTTTAAACACAACCCACGATTGAATTCAATCCCGTTTCAGGCTAAGGTATGATGCGTAGTACACTTGAGTCACTTGGTAAGATAAAACAAAGGGATCATACTTTGGGTATTTCTTAGTATGATTTACTTCGACAAGCTTGTATTGTTCAAGTATGTTCATTCCCCTACCACAATCCATCCAACTTTAAACAAAATAGTCTTGTACTCTTTTTCGGAACCAGTGTAGACAAGTTCAATTATGTCTTCTAAAATGCCGAAGTACTCTTCACCATCCTCACTTGATACACACACACCATAATTCATTGTAGATTTGTGCTTTCCATGGGCATGTGTATGGAAATTAAATCCACCGACAAAAATCTGCCTCCAAGTTCGAACTCGCTTGAAAGGATGCATGCACAACGCTCGCAGGACATCCGAATTTGGTTTCTCTTCAACCACCTACGAACGTTTTGAATATTAATGTCACAGTTCATGAATTGAATAAATTGAAGTGCAAGATGTAAAATTCATAATTATGTCACGGTTAGACCGTTTATATCACCTTGTGATGAAACCAATCAGAGAATTCAGCTTTGCATTTCTCCATGACTTCTTCTCTACGCAGATAAGGTTGAGTACCAAGAATGTAGTCGTCAAACTTCCTACGAGGTCAAACACACGTGGAAAATCAACATTGTAATCATTTTAATTGTTCATAACGTATGAATACAATTATACCTTTCTTATCCACCAAGAATGCCGCTGTTTCGTAAAACGAACAAATGAGCACACTCGAGTTCCTTTTCATCTAAAAACCGAGTTTTACCCTCATTTGACACACGTCCGCTATCCACCGTGAACAACTCTGGTATTTCATTGTTGTCCACTGTGGAGTCCACATCGGCATTCACATTTCGACTGAAATCTCATGTTTTTGTGTCAATTGAAACCTGGAAGTAATTAGAGCAGAAGTTTGCTATCTCTTCGGTGAGATAAGCATTGCATATAGAACCTTCAACTTGAGCCTTGTTCCCAATTTTTCGTTATAGTGATTGAGTAACCTACAATTATAGTTATATAAATGTATAAACAAATCATGACAATGAATTGGAAGTAAAAAAGAGGATGTGAAAGGGTCTTTGATTTACCTTTCGAAGGGATACATCCATCTATATTGAACAGGACCACATAACTTGTCCTCACATGGCAAATGAATAGGTAAATGCTCCATGGAGTTAAAAAATGCAGGAGGGAAGACCTTCTCAAGCTTGCAAAGGATCTCAGCTATGTTTTTCTCCAATCGCTCCATGTCACTAACTGTGATTGTGTAGCAACACAAATCGCGAAAGAATTGGCTGATTTTTGTAATTGCATTCCAAATATGACCAGGGAGCAATTCCCTCAAAGCAATGGGCAACAACCTCTCCATGAACACTTGACAATCATGGATTTTCATTCCGTGTAGCTTACATACCTGCAAATCTACGCATCTGCTCAAATTGGAGGCGTAACCATCAGGAAACCGCAGCTGTTTAACCCACTCACACAAAACTTTTCTCTGAGCCTTGTCAAGAGCGTGGAGCCTTTGGTATGAAATCTTTTCTTCTATCGTCTTCCTGAAGATGAAGCTGCGGCCGTTTACAATATTTGACAATGTCATTTCGAGCCGATGGCATGTCGCATGTATGCTTTTTCACATCCATTATAGTGTGAATTAACTGATCAAAGAAGTCCTTTTCAATGTGCATGACATCTAAGTTATGACGAATGAGTAGATGCTTCCAATATGGAAGCTCCCACAGTGTGCTGTGTTTAAACCACCCCTTTTTAGCTTTTTTTGAGGCGTTTAAGTGCCTCGGGCCTGTCTGTAGCCTTTGGAAGGTCTTTCACACATTCCCACAGTTCCTCTCCTGACATGATGTGTGAAGGTGCACCTTTTTCGACTTTGTTTTTACAAAATGCAGTTCTACTATTTCGAAAAGGGTGCTCTGTCGACAGGAATTGGCGGTGGCAATCAAACCAAGAAACTTTACCACCATGTTCGAGCCAAAATGATTTGCTTTTCTCCATGCAATATGGACAAGCCTTCTTACAAGATGTGGTCTAACCAGACAACATACCATAAGTCGGGAAGTCACTAACGGTCCATAGGATGACTGCTCGAAGATTAAAATTCTTTTTCCTCGAAATATCGTAAGTATTTGCGCCAAGTTCCCATAATTGTTTCAACTCTTCTATCAACGGTTGCGTGTACACATCCAAGTTGCCCTTAGGGTTTTTAGGACCAGGAACGAGCAATGAAAGGAACATGACTTATCTTTTCATACACATTGATGGAGGCAAGTTATAAGGGGCAAAATGACAGGCCAACAAGAATATTGTCCCCCAAACTTACCATGAGGAGCAAAACCATCTGTACACAAGCCAAGTCGAACATTACGAGCCTCGGAGGCAGTGTCTGGAAAGCAACTATCGAGGTGTTTCCAAGCTTCACTATCACTAGGGTGTGCCATTGTGCCTTATACTCGAGGGTTTTTCGAGTTTCATGTCATTTCCTCCGAAATGTTCTTGGTTACAAAGAGCCTTTGCAACCTAGGTGTAATCGGGAAATAAAATAAAACATTCAAAGACACCAAGCTACCTTTAGAAGTCTTCTTGTATCAGTCGCTACCACACACCTTACATGTAGATAGCTGAACATCATCCTTCCAAAACAACATACATCCTTTCGGGCATGCATGAATCTTTTCATGAGGCAGCTCTAAGCCCTTCACAATCTTCTTTACCTCATAAAATGTGTCGGCCATATGGTTGTTGTTAGGAATCGCTTCATTGACCAAAGAAGCAAACCCATCAACACATCTGTGGGGCAAATTATACTCGCACTTTAGACTAGTAATTCTAGCAGCCATCTCTAACAGTACATACAATGAACTCCCTTCGTATAATGGTTGTTCAAAATCCTTCAACAAATCCATAAAATGCTTGGCTTGTGCATTAGGCTCCTCCTCTGATGAAACACTAGACTGTTCAGAATGCCCTTAATCTTGAGTATGACCAAAAGCATCGAAAACCATTTCACGATATTCATTGGACCGCACTTCAGGAACTCCTAGAAACCCTTCCCCATGACACATCCACTCATAGTAATTAGGTACAAAACCCTTGCGAAACAAATGAATTTTAACCGTTTCCGCATCCCAAAGCCATTTGTTCTTACACTTAAAACATGGACACCTAACTTCATTCGGGTTACTACTCTTTGGATGATCTTTGACGTACTGAATGAAATCATCAACCCATTTCACGAACTTTAGATTAATAGAAAGCCCAACCTTCCATTCATACATCCAGATACGTTTTGTTCGTTTCATGATTATAACTTCTACACAACTCACGCACATGTGTAATCACATTAGTCACAAAGCGTATTTAATATTCATTTTCCATCAAAGTGTTATGGAAAATGAAAATGAGATTTGAAATGATGTGCAGGGGTCTTTATCACTCCAACCTAACCCATCTTTATACGTTTAATCCCACTATTGAATGTAAGCCAGGTTTTCAATTCTATGGAAAATCCGGCAGCATTTCCTTACAGTTCTCCAAGTACACGATGTAGGCGATTAGATACACCCACATATGTACCCAGAGAACATTGTAGAGAACTGAGAAGCCTGGATATTCCCTAGAATCAATAGCAAGGCATACATTCAATACCTAAGTGAGAATAAGTGTACAAGGACAGTCCCAACCGGGGACTATTCAAGATGTACTCCTAATGTGTATACCTTGAACGAGTATCTAGGCATACAATGATGCAAATGATTCATTTACAAAATATATAAAGTGAAGGGCACATGCATTATACTAAACAAATATGTAATAATTAAACTAAACTAAACTAACATATTATAATATCATAATATTAAAATAAACCAAATCAAACAAAACCTAACTAACTAAAATATCATAATATTAAACCAAAATAACATACATTATATAAAACTAAACTAAACTAAGCTACATTAGATTAAACTAAACAAAACTAAACTACATTATATTAAACTAAAGTAATTTAACATACATCATATTAAACTAAACCCAACCAAACTAACATATCATAATATTAAACTAAACTAACATACATTATATAAAACTAAACTAAATTAAACTACATAATATTAAAATAAACTAAACTAACATACATTATATTAGGGTTTGTAATGTGACTAACCTTTAGATCTACACTTCATTTTGACAATTAAACTAAGTAATTGTAATCCTACAAAAAAATAAAAAAAAAAATAAAAAATAAGTAAGCGTTTATTATTATACCAAAATAAAATTGAATTGAAAAGATGGGGAAAATAACTCACTATGGGTAGAGGACATCTCGGTGGTGGCTGCACAACAAGCTTGGTGGAGGTGGCGTCCGTGGTGGCTACAAAATAAGGGCGGTGGAGGAAATTAATTCATTAAGAAAAAAGGGGAAATTAGGAGGACTTACCGGAAGTTTCAGTAGGGGGAAAGGGTGGTGAATCTGGTCTCGGCGAAGGAGGGGAGGAGGTCGGAGGCTGCGATGAAGTAGTTAAGGTTTAGTGCAGGTAAATTTTTAAAAATTAAAAAAAAATAAAATAAACAACAACAACAACATTAACCTTGTGGCGGCGTCAGGGGCGGCAGAAGGTGGATCTGGTCGCAACAATGAAGGAGGAACGGGGGTGGCTGTAGAAGAAGGTATGGTGGTAAGGGTTTAACCAAAAAAAATAAAATTGCAGAACTACTTACTGAGCGGCGGCCTGGCAGTCACAAGGGGACGGCGGTCAACGGCCGGTGGTTGCGGTGAAAGGCCGGAGGTGGTTGCGGCGAATATTCTGGTGGTTGTTGGGTCTCTTTCTCTTTCTCTTTCTCCCTTTCTTTTGTTCTCTCTTTTTCCTATTTTCTCTTTCTATTTCGTGAAATACGAAGAACTAAAGCACCCTGGTTATATTTTTATTGCTTCCGACGGAATTATTTTATGTCGGAATTTAATACTTCCGACGAAATATTCTGTCGGAAAATAATTTGTTTTCTTTCCTCCATTGATTTCGACTTGTTCGATGTCGTAGTGAAAATGTCTAGTTTCCACCATTGAAATTGAAGGTTGAGAGAGGAGAGAAAAAACAACAAAAGGTTGAAGGAGGAGAGAGAAAATCATAAAACAACAAAATGTTGAAGGAGGAGAGAAAAAACAGTAGTTAACCAAATTTAAATGTAATTTACATATACACCCTTTGATAAACATAAAGTCAAGGTTATTATAAACTAGTATTTTCTCTTGTTTTAACTGAAACTAAACAACATTTTTCTTGGTTTTTTAATTGACTTGTAGCCTTCACCTTGACATCTTTCGACATTATTGATAATCTTTTTGTGCTCTTTCATATCATCTGAAATAATTTGTTTTATTTTTATCCATTTAATTCACCAATTTTTTATTTGATTTTTTTAGATTATTTATTTTTGAGAAAAAATTAACGTGAATAATCTAATTATTGCATGTCTTCTCATTTTAATCCCAGCTATTAATTAACTTAGTATAATCCCAATTGTTGTAGTATTCACAAAACAAGCAATAATCTTGCTTTTTCTATAACTTTTTGAACCGTTCCCATTTTATAAAAAGTCAAAATCTCCGCACGATGCTACCACGTTGAGCCTGTTGCTGGAGAAGAAAATCATTTAAATCCAAATAATGGATGGTAATAATTGGGTTACAACCGGTCACATTAATGAAATGTCAATTTATAGTTGGTTTATTTATTTATTTATTATTAATTTTTTATTTATTTTGTATGCTCTCTCCACACTCCATCCTCTTCTATCCTCAACCCACCACCACGACACCACCTACATTGGCCGAAACCACCACCCATCCTCCTTATTCTCACTTAGACCACTAACTAACCTCACTGCCATCGCTTGAAGCCTCCAACCATCCTCTCAATCTCACATCGATCAACAACCACTGTACCCTTATCAACTAACCCACCAGCATATCACCACCACATACACCCACTACACACCACCATCAAACCACCACCACCACCACACCACACCAAAAAAATTTAACAGAAGCAAAAGAATAAAAATCCCCAATAAAAATTATCCAAAAAAAAAATGACAAAAATTATACATACAACAATTTGAATATAAACAATTACACATATCTCAAAAATTATACACTGAAATTATAAATTAAAATTACAATTATATCAAAAAATAGTTATAATCTGAGATTTGAAAAAGTAAAACCAGAACTAAAGTCTAACCTATATTAAAATCAGATTTAGGATTCAAAAACCTTGAAAACTTCGTTGCTCAGCTCGTGACGGCGGGCGTGCGACTTGTAGTGCCTGCGGATACTCGTGCGCTGCTTGGGCTGACATTGGAGAATCAACGACGGTTTATTGGCCGTTGGAAGAAAACCGTTGAGATATATATGACCGCTTATAAGTATTTGTGATTGATCACAGTGACCAGCCAATTATAAGTATTTGTGAACTAAATGATGAGTACGCAATAAAATTATTTTTCTTAATTGCAAAGGCTTGTGAGCTCTTCCCCTAATACTTCATACTTTCACTATATCAAATTTTTTGTATGATTGTTGCTCTTGTATTTCCCCTATTTCTTCTTAACACTTGCTATACCTTGACTTTTACTACAATTTTTCAAATACGCGCATTTAATTTGGCTATATATGATGTTTATACCTATGAACAATAGGCTTCGTTAATTACTCTTGCCATCTCTAGTCGTTTGCTCGATTTTCTTTACTAATTAGTCAAAATTTATCATGTTTCACTGTAAATTTTTGCATACATATATTGACAAGGAAAAAAAAAATTATATTTATATGGATCTTACTAGGTTTGCTTTGACATATACTTTAACTATATTAAAATTTTATATTGTAATGTTTACCTGCACATATACCTACCTTATAAAAAGTTTAACAAAACTCTTATGAATAGTGCATCGATATTTATATCTCAAAAAAAAAAAAAAAATTCTTTTGCATATTTACCCCATTTTTTTTTTGAAATATACTCCCATTTCATTTCAAAACCATAAAATTGTCTCTGGAATACCCTAAATTGATTAATTACTCTTGTAAATAAAAAGTTGTGTTTATTTCAATATTTAAAGCCATCGTTTAATTTCTCTATTTCTTTATGTTTTTCCTATTTGAAATTTAAATACTAAAGTATTAAAGAGACTCTAAATTAATTTTAATATTATATGGAGTACAAGAAATTATATAATTGTGTGATGTCTTGTTTATTTTATTCAATTTGTCCCAATAAGTACTTAAAATTAACTTGATGTACATTTAAATTTCTAGAACTTGATATATATTTTATTTTTATCGTTCCTTCGCTAAATCAAAGTAGCTCTACTTAAGTTTTCAACATTGTACAACTACACAACATCCAACACATTTATCGCCTATGTGCAAAAAGTTATAATAAATATCATGCAAACAGGCATAGGGCATTAAGGCCACTGGTAGTAGTTTTTGTCAAAGGGCTAACCATACGACGTGCATTCGCGTGTTAGAATCCCTAGTTATGGATGTAATATGTGAAACATATTTTTGAGAGACCTGTAAAAAGAAGCAAATTATAATAAGCTGGAGGCAGTATATGAGATATTGATAGATTTGATTTTTCAGAATAACAATTTTCCAAAAGTTTTTAATTAATGAAATTAAAAGATGTTTAATGGTTGCATTTCATTGAAGTGTTGTAAGTATTAAAAACATAGCTAGTATGAAAAGAACTACTACGTTTTATTAACTTCTCCAACACACATAACACACCACATAACAACATTCAACATGGATTGTAACTTAAAAACACAACATAGTTCGTTGCAACAATCGCAAAAGTTGAAGAAATGGAAACACTCAAGCAACATAGTAGAGGTGGTACATTTAGTACAACTACTTAAACATAGATCGACTATGGTAGTCACACTATGAAGTAGTGATAGTCGGGGGAGTATGAAGTTCATATACCAGTAACAAACGGATTCGGTACACACATGAAAGTCACCGGAGTGATCGGAACACAATGATATGGGTCACAACACGGGCCGATGTATGGTGTGCAAGCTCTCCACACATCATGGCAAGTAAGAGGATGATTAACATCCTCAACAATATCTTTGAGTAGGATGGTTGAGACGGGGTCAGGGATTTCCCGGACACCCAAGATAGGCTGAGGTTTGGTGACAACCATCAAAATGGTTACTAACACTATTAAACTAGCTGCAGTCTTCATCTTTTTAATTTGTTTGAATGTTTGATGATATGATTAAGGAAGAAGAGAAGGATGGTTTTTTTTTTTTTTTAGATGTAGTTAGAGTAACTATTATACGAAGCCTAGTAGGTTTTGTTTTTTTAAAATAATACAACCACGTAGTTGTCGTGACCCCTTAATTGAAGAAAGGGAATATACACAGAAAACATCATATAACTAATGTACTACTAATCTTAAATTAAATCAAATTGCATGGAATTATGTATAAATTTAGCGAAACTTGCTCTTTCAGGACATCCAACAGGCGGTGGGATTCCATCGGGCCCCGTAACACAACTTGATGTTTCTTTATCATTTTATTTGGGCAGACGTATAGTGTTTAATTATTGAGATGTTGAGTTTCATATTGTATATTATTGTGGGGGTAAGAGTAGTTAAACTCCTTAATTACTTCCCGTAAAAAAAAAACAAATAAAAAAACTCCTTAATTAGTTGTGGTATATGGTAATTAATATGCACATGCATTATAATTTCATTAATTTGACAGACGTAGATTGTTTTGTTCCATATAGATTATATCCAGACCCTTGCAAATAGGCTCAAAGTGATTCTCCCGAATATTATTTCTCATCATTAAAGTGCTTTTGTGCCGGGGAGGTTGATTACGGACAATGCTATAGTTGCCTTTGAAATATTTCATTCTATGAAGAGGAAGGGTAAAGGGAGGACTGGAAATTTGGCTCTCAAACTCGATATGAGTAAAGCTTATGATCGAGTCGAACGGTCGTTCTTGGAGAGGGTTATGTATAAGTTCGGGTTTAATGATGCTTGGCTGAGACGAATTCTTGATTGCTTGTCGAGTGTAAGTTATGCCTTTAAGTGGAACGGGAAAATTGATGGTGAGGTGATTCACTACTAGAAATAGGCCGAATTCTGACGGACATGTTTTTCTGTCGAAAAATTCAAAATTTTCGACGGATTTATACTCTGTCGGAAATTTCCGACGAATTCAAAAATTCCGTCGAAAATCTGTCGGAATATATGTATTTTCAGACAGATTTTTTGTCGTAAATACAGTTTCCGACGGATTTTCCGTCAGAAAATAATTTTTTTTACAAAGAAAATACCCCATTTAAACAAACCCTAAACCGGTTCTCTTTCTCCATTCCGCCTCTTCTCCCATTTCTTCTCTTTCTCTCTTCTCTTCTCCTTCTCTCTTCCGCCTCCTTCTTCTTCTCTGATTCTCTCTCCTCTACTCCTCTTCTCTGATTCTCTCTTCTCTCTCCTATTCTCTTTCCTCTTCTCCTTCCTCTGTTCTCTCGTCCTCTTCTTTTTCCTTTCTCCTTTCTTTCATTCTCACAAAATCGCTAATGGGTAAAAGTTCGCAACACCTCACGCATGAAAACGACTGGGGTTTTAATTTTTTGAACAAAGTAAGGTTTTTCATGGTCGAATTTGACCTTTAAAACCCAAATTCAAGCCAATTTCGGGGTTTTGTTGGTGAAATTCAAGGTATGTTTTTTTTCTTACTTATTTTTGGTTTTTGAGATTTTTTTATTTTATTTTATGGTGATGTGTGGTTGAATTGCGGTGGCGGCGGATTGGTGGGTGGTTTGTGTCAAGAAACTGCAGTGGTGGTGGGTGGTTTGTGTTCGAGTAATTGTGGTGTAGATCTAGGCTTAGAGTTTGTCGATGGCGGTGATCTTTTGGTTATGTTTGTGGGTGGCAGTGGTCTCAGGTGGGTGGCGCTGGGTTTGGGTGTTTTAGGTGGCTGGATCGAGGTATGGGTTTGGTGGGGTTTTGGTTAGGGTTCGGTCAGGGATTGGGTTAGGTGGGACTGGTTTAGGGGTCGGTGGTGGTGGTGGTGGGTGGCGCTGGGTTTGTGGTGGCTATGGGCTTAGGTGGGTTTAGAGTTAGGGTGGGGAGAGTGGCGATCCGATGGTCTGGAGTTAGGGTTAGTTAGGGGTTGTTGGTGGTGATACGCCGTGCCGGTGGTAGTGCGATGTGGTTGTTTTTTTTTTTTTTAATTTCATTGAAGCATTTTCCGGTGTCGGAAATCCTCTTCTGACGAAAGAATTCCGTCGGAAAAGGTCATTTTTCCTCCAAAACCTTTTCTGACAACCGATTCCGACGGAAATTCCGCCGGAAACGTGTTTTCCGACGGAATTCAGGGTGATTCCGACGGAATTTTTTCGTCGGAAATAGGCTGTTTTCTAGTAGTGATTCCATCTAGGGGCCTCCGTCAAGGGGACCCAATATCGTCGTACTTATTTTTATTGTGTGCGGAGGCTTTTTCTAGTTTTTTTTTTATCGAAAGCAACAAACGAAAGTTGATACATGGGGCAAGGGTATGTAGAGGAGCTCCTCGGATTTCCCATTTATTTTTAGGTGATGACAATATTCTGTTTGCTAGAGCGACACTTTAGAAGTGCTCTAAAATTACTAATATCATTAGTGTTTATGAAGAGGCTTCGGGACAAAAGATTAATTTTGATAAATCTGAAGTGTCATTTAGCAAAAATGTGGAGGCTACTAGGCGAAGAGATATTCTTTCGGTGCTTAGGGTTAGATAAGTAGCTAGGCATGAAAAATATTTGGGACTCCCGGCGATGATCGGTAGATCAAAGAAAGCAGCTTTCTCGTGTTTGAAGGAGCGGGTGTGGAAGAAGATGCAAGGGTGGAAAGAGAAGTTACTTTCTCAAGCCGGGAAAGAGGTCCTTATCAAGTTTATGACCTTTTTGATTAGGTACATTAGTATAAAATACACATGCAAACACTTTAAATGACTTATAGATGGT